GCTCACTGTTCGTAACCTGCTTTTCACAAATTCGGCACTCACAACCGTGCCATTTGGGAATTATGAAGTCTATATGAGTGGTTTGAGAGTCACGAAAATGTTTTGGGCACGTTCTTTTTGTCACTGTAATGATCAGAGTATAAAAGAGGTCCAGATGTGTTTTGAAATACACAGTGTTTCAGTTGATGATGAATATTTATGACAGCATTGACTGAATCAGTGGGATGAGGAAACACAAGCAAACAGTACGACGCGAAAACAAAAAGGATGAAAAATGCATTCGAATAAACGTTATTAAAGCAAAATGTGTTCGTTTGTGACGACGTAAGCAAACCGAGAGGGGGATTCAAGGGCACATTGAAATTATACGTTGAACTGAATTAAGAGAAGCGGGTAGTAGGTGGTAGAAGCTGACGCTGTTAATATTGGAGAAAATAGGATTGGGTGATTAGCTATTACTATGTTTTGTTACGGTGGAGTGAGAAAAACAAACAATTATCGCTAATGATGATGGAGGGTGTTAAAATTTCTTAACGATCTTATTTAACATCTATCAACCGGGAATAAAGGTGCAGACGAATCAAGGACTGATGTAGGATCTAATCATAAACGGAAAGCTGAACATGCACTTGTAGTATCAATGAGAATCTAGAGAAAGAGACCCATGGTCTACATGTTGTGTGGATCTTACCCCTTGGGAGCAGGTTACTCCCCAATATTCTAATGTATTTGAAGTACCGTGGTTAGCGTAAGAGGAAAGAATTGTGATCCCCAATCTGATGGAATGTATTTTGAGTGCCGTGGTGGATAAACAAAAACGATACCTTGTGGTAGTAAGTTCAAACAAGGATGCAATACCTTTTCAGTGTTTTTTGCTAGTCGACACCTGGAAAAAGTCCTCACATATGAAACGAGAAACTGATTTGCAGAAATATTCTCTATTGTATTGTTATCATGTAGACGTATCTTTCATGAAACTAAATAAAGAAATACCTAGGGTCAGTAAAGAGGACACAAAAATCAGTAAGAGTGCGTACAGAATTTATCATTCCTCTTTGTCCGGTCAATCAATTCATTTTGGTCACATAAGGGAACATGTTGTCAACATATCCCATACATAAAACAAATTCGACTTTGACTGTGACACAAAACATGTGACCTACAGGGCACCAACATTACCCACCTGAAAGTTTTCATTCGAAGCTCAGTAACAAATTATTCGTCAGCGATGAGGTCGTGCTTCACCGGTTCGAAGTAGGGTGATTATTACATACATTGATCCCAACGGGAATGAGCGGAAAAGAGATTCCGTTGAAAGATGGGAATGACATTTGTCAGTGCTTGTCTTTGTCGCACGGATTCCATTACATGAGTATTTAATAGAGCTTTCAACTTACTTCATTAGAAAGCACTGATGTATGTGATAATAAAACCAACGTCAACCGGAGTTTTGCCGTTCTTTGATCTTGTCGGCAAGCGTCAAAGAAATCCATGTTTTGTTGCATTCAGTGCTCTGGCACATGAACCGCGCGCATGTCTATGCCAATTCGAGAACCAAGACCAATGGACACGTTCAATAAGGTTAGGATCAAGGATTCAGTGTCACTGCTGCTGATCACATTGTTCACCTTGGTTGACAGCGACCGAATAGGCTGTGTGCTTGAATTTTCGGCCTTAAGTTGAACGGTGAGAACCATCTAGGAGTCATATAAACTGGCAGCCCATAATACAATCTGACCTGACAAGGTTCAGATGCATTGCGAAATCTAGTAAGTAATGGAGTTATAAGGTGATGACTAATAACGTCAAAAATGCGGCAAACACACATTGGAATATTAGGCCATTATGGACAAAATGTAAACAGCGCAAGAAACAAAAGATGGATCACTTGCTTTCCAGTCAGAACTTGATTTAACTGTCTGTTGTATTGCTCCCCCGTCACGTAATGACAAAGAGAGACGTAACACAAGTACCTGCTGAAGCAATTTTGCTTTGGTTTGTTGTTGTTATTGTTGGTACTGTTGCTGGATAAAAACTTGGATAAAAGCTGATGAGAATAGATCAATCACCACTCTGAGGGGATAACAGGTCAAATCTACCCAAGTTTGATAAACAGGAGGCCAAAGTACTTTATTTTAAAATGGGTCAGACAAATCATGCACTGCTGCGACACGGGCCAGAATATAATTAGAGCTCGTGCGTTCAGATGCAGTGTCATGTACGTGGTCATGACACAAATGAAAAGCTTTTATCCGACCCACAACTCGAGTACACTCTTATCAACAAAAAATGCAAGTCAGCAAAAGAGCAGTAGCGAGAAAGAGAAACATTCAAAACTCGCCCGTTGAAGTGCTCTTCTCATAGTCGACTTCAAAAAAGCAACAAGTTTGGTGGAATCAAATTATTTCCGATCATAGAAAAACGTATCGCAAGGCGGTTGAGGTGATTAGGTTTAAATCAGTGCACCCATATCCAGAAGCCGACAGTCTCAACAAACTGAAACCTCCAGCTGGAAATATATAAGTAAAATTAAATGAATGCCACTGTTTCAGTACTGGAAGCTGTCAAGATAATCAGAATTAGAAATAATAACATCAACGAATGTGCACTCCACGCATGCCGGAAAGATATTTCACGTGGACTGATCAGTAAAACAGGGTATTCTTCAGAAATAAGATTTCTCGGAGGACAACAAAGAGTTTTCCACACATACTTTACCATATAAAAGGAATATTGCGTGATAACTGGCAAGGAACATCGTCGTCATCATCGTAAAGCACAAAACAGGGAAGTGATGAACTTCTTTGGTCGCTGCCAAACTCATTATGCTTACAAGTTAATTGAGAATGTGTAGGGAGGATAGAAGTCGGACCCATTTTGCGGGACGACGAAAGAAGGTGAACCTCTAATTTAACGCACAGAGAGCAAATTTCAACTGTGCATACACACTTTTTCAAGCAGTCTGGTCTGAAAAAAAGTGACAGTAACCTCGCCACTGCTGTCGGTTTGCTGCCATGACTTTCAATGTATCCAATTATCCAGTCACGGAGTTTATGGGACCTAACCCTGGAAGATAAGAGATAAGTACTCTACACAACAACTCTGCGCATTTCTTCTTCCCTCGTCTACACGTCACCTACTGACCACTGTGCCTTTTCCTCTAGTTTGGAACGGGTTGTGCAAATAAGACAGTGCGATAGACAACCGTCAGTTATACGCAATACGTTTCCTAACCAACGGAGCCTATTGAGCTGAATTCGACGCGATGGCGAGTTTTTGTTTGATGCTTCTCAAACACCAGATGACTTGTTAGGTTACTGACATGCTCACTCCATCCAACCTGGGCCGGACTACGTTAGCATCAACTGTCGAAAACCACCAGTCGACAGATGTCTTCTAACCCTAAAGCAGAAATAATCGTGCAGTGGTGCCGTACACGTGACTTTTCAGCTCCAGTGAAACATCACGTCGACTCATATATTTTCTTTTTTGGTGAAGTAGTGTGCTCCAGCTTCGTAGATTCAGCCTAGGAAGGAACATAAGTATACGTATTGCTGACAAGACTCTGTAAAGGCGAAAAAAGTTGATTAGCTCTTACTGTTGGGCAGAACGCATGCTGTTTAGTGGGTAAAATGAGTGAAGCTAATGGGGAATTTAGGAACTTATGGGAATTTAAATATGAACTATAAAATCAATGCATAAATCTGGAGACGTATTGGCTCGCACAGACCACGGAAAAAAATGCTGCAAGGTAACCTCAAGGGTGAAATCAGGAGGGATGAGAGAACGTTGACTTCCCCCAAATGGCATTGATGATGTCTACGAACGTCTACGAAACGTATGCGAATAACAACACTTCCAGTTCGGATAACACACACCGGCAACAATATTGGAGACGGTTTTCTCAGTACTCTACTTCAGACAGAGTTGTAACTGGAAAACGCACCGGAATGTTCATTCCCATTTCTCTTAACTCCTTTACAAACAGTGTTGCTTGAGCAATTGAAATTGGCTAATTATGTCTGTTTGTAGAAATGTTTGTGATAACCAACAAACAGCGCTGAACAGCTGTTTCATCCATCAAGAGTGCCTGATGCCTCTTAACAAACGAATGGACTAATCCAAGCTTGCTACTTTAAAGATGTCTGTTTGTAGTTTGTATAACAATCCTCTCTATGTGCGACACTTTGCACCAGACTTAATTCAAAGCGTATTTGGTTTCAAACATTTTCTGGGAGTTTGGTTTTGGCAGATACTACTTACTTATGAGAGAGTACGCAAAAAGATGCAATCAGCGATTTCCTCCAACGGCCAAAATGAATGGGACCTGTTTGAGTGAACGGCTCCTGTTCGGTATGGTGAATACAAGAATGCGCGTCCAATAGTGGACTGTCCCATCAGCTATCCCGTATACGTGTGGGAATTCTGCACACTCGTTCTAAATGGGATATTTTGTTGTATGAATGACAACTTACTGAAACGCTGACCGTTATTCCAAATAAACAGCTTTCCTCGACCAGGCACCCACCGCCTTGTGAAATTATAACATTAGTAGAACAATGATGAATGCACATATATTGTTGATGTTTTATTGAAAATTAGGGACGGTAGATTGCAATCAGTCAAACCGCGATGTAAATATCCATACATGCGATTATCAAATAGTAATCGAAATATATATTTTCAGTGGAATATTTATCTCAATAATAAATACCTACCCCAAATTCGTACTTGTTTTGTTCGATGTTATAACTTGATCCGTTGTATGGTATCGCGAGACCATGTTTGATGATTAACTGGTCTATTTGGAATACACAACTCACCAATTACGGATACCGTTGCGCTCTTTAATTTTACGCTTTATAATTTCCCTATATAAAATGGTATCAATCAATTTATAATGCTAGCAAATGTATTTTAGGTAGGAGATATCTCAACTTTCACTGTGAGTCATCCCATGTGATTCTTGTAGGCAATGCATGGACCAAAGAGCTAATACGTTAATGACAACGAACACTCGAGCATCGATCCACCACAGTGGTTGCTACACAGCGTACTACAAAAAAATGTGCAAATGTAACAGGTTTGATTGAGGAAACGCATTCTATCCAAAGAGGCTTACCTATCTTCACACGCACATGCAAAATATTATGCATACACAAGCCACACGCTCGGATTGACATGATATTTCGGCCCAAAAATGAATCGGTGGGTTCTGTTTCCTTATCATCATCGTCATCATCATCATCATCATCATCATCCTCGTAATCAACATGCAGCTACCCCGCGAACATACGAACATCCTAAAAGACACACGCACACAAACCAATGTTGGTGTTCCAGGTTATTGACAAGACTTGGAAGCGCTCACGTGACTTTAGAAACGTTAAGACTCCACAGCAAAGTCCTGGAAACCGAGAGAATGTTTTTTGTCATCTGAACTTCTGATACGCGACACTTTGTTCTTGTCGCTCTTCTGAGTAGGTCAGGGATGGGGTTTAAGATAAATGCACACAAACACAACCACCACACATTTGTACTTTGTTGGCTTTTGTGTCGTAGACAGATGTACCCTGAACAAACGGGAACTCCTGATTAGCCGCGCTGGATATAAAGATATAGTTTTTGTGAAGGACTGATGTATAAAACGTGATGCTCCTGGGTAATAATAAAGACGCACTTATTGTTTGCTCTGTGCATAGTTGTTGTACCGAGGCTGCCATTAACTTCACAATTCAGGCGTAAAGGAGGTCGGGATTTGAGGACACAACTTATTGCCCGTGTCACGTGTGTTTGAATCCCGCCATGATCGCCGCTCCANAATGTAGTGTATGTTAGCCCTTTGATTGAACGCTTCTCACCTTCCTGAAAATAGTTTGTATCATCAATACGTATCTCGAATAACAAAGAAGCCCCAATTAAATCACTCTTCAGTGGTCACACACGTACTGATAGAAAGTGTCGCATTGGAACACCATTGTTTACTACCTTCCGCGGTATGTCTTCATTTGTTAATAAAGGTTAACCTAACATTCATGAGCTGTGATGACGGGGTCTTGATTTGGCCATCCTTGTAGGGAATGCATAAAGAGGTACTGTAGTCAAGATATAGAACATCAAATAAACATTTTGCTAGTGATGGGTGCAAATTCACAAAGACTGATGGCTCAGCGGCATCGAATCGGAGATGTTAGGCTAGTAAAGTTATGCAATTAGTGCAGCTCTATGCTACTGGGTGCGTCCCCAGATCACAGATAGGAGAGCGACTACCTACTTAGTGGGCTTTGAATAGATGGGCACTGTTTTGCTGACCAGATATTTTCAAACAATTGATGATCATCCTTATAAATGGGATGTAATTTTGTAACTATTCTGTCTACAAACATAGCCGAACGGTCCACAAAAAGCATCGTGATGAACATGAATATGGGACACCGAAATCTTGCAATCCCTATCATTTTGTTGCCCCACATGAAGGGATTATCTTCTCTAGGTCTAGAGTCACATACTCCAGAGAGAGGAAGGAATAATTCTATTACGAATGATAATCGTTCAGACTGATTGACGAATCCGATTTATCCTCACGTGAGATAAAGTCACCGAAGACGAGGACAGTGAGCAACAAACTCTAGGCCAGTTCTGATCACGAATAGAGTGCTTCACATTTGCTGCAGTCAATCGAGTCCCTCATATAATACACACACTAGTCAATGTTGCTGCTGTGACCATCATCAAATTAACCAATATCTAGCTAAAAAGTGATAGTATTTGATATCCAGTGATGTGTTCCTGGAACACAATAGCTAATGTGTGGGATCGAAAGGGCTCAAAATGAAATTTATGAATCTGATAACGGGTGATAATGTAATGAGGCCGTGAAACAATCGCTACTGGAAAGTAGTGGGGGAAAAATGATGTAACTTCGTTCGATCATTTATGTGGACTATCTATTAAAATACTGAATTGATTTATGTAAAACATGTTCTTTCTTACTATGCGGATTTAGATGCTGTATTGATATTGTTCCTCTAGTGTTGGTCTCAATTCTCGAACGCTTTTTTATCATTTGTGTGTAAAACACACCTTTGGGGACGGAATTTGGTGGCACTGTATTGCGAATTCCACCTATTTTGTAAATTTTTCTAAACGGAACTGAGCGATACACCTATTGGAAGCATAGTTTTCCAGTCTATTATCGAAAAAACAGAACGCACAAATATTTTACGATATATATATATATATATGTATATGTATATATATATATCGTCCACAACTTTCTAAACGTGAAAAAGTAACGGGTGAGTTTCACATCATTGTTTGCAGGGAGGAATACAATTAAAAATCATCACGAAAGTTGATATCGATCATTCAAAAAACAGTGATAAAATACCTGCAATGGAATTCTCTTTATAAGGGCTGACAACGGTTACTGGGCCAGTGTATAGTCTTTGTTGTCAGTGCTTGTATGCCCCTCTTGTATTTGAATCTTCAGTTCGGGTTCACAATGCACAGGTCTTGATATTTGTGTGTGTATGTATGTATGTATGTGTGTATATGTGTGTGTGTGTGTGTGTGTGTGTGTGTGTGTGTGAATTTAATACAGCAATTCCCGATCGGTTTAATATTGGCGTGTATGGGCAAATCGAGTTCGCGTAGAACGCAGACTTAGTGCGACTATAGCCTATAATGACATCATCCATCGTACACTTTCGTACATATATGTGAACAGTTACTTCAGCATATTTTATACTGATTAGCCATACGAATTCTGTCTCACTATAATTGTGCCTTTCCGAATGCACCAATGACCAAAACATTCAATATAACAAGCCTCCGAAAGCCTGACTATGGTCGGAGGTGGGTGTCTCGAGTTGGGGCTGGTCAACCTTTCCTTAAACCTCACGGAATGCTCCCATATAACCAAGAGTCTCAAATAACTCCTGCAGAGGAAACCCTACTCTTTGCTTTCTCGTAGCGGAGGCGCTTTTTTACCAAAGTGAGAGGACGAAAAGCCGACATCTGGGGCTATAACCGAGTTGGTGAACCCCTGGCAGTTCATGCAGGGGAGTTGGCTAAAAACCCTGAGCGCAAACCAACCGAGAAGAGGCGTGATAACCGCACACACCTTCCTGCTTGTTGCACAAGTTTACCGGCTGGATTGGGTATCGAGGTTTATTGAGCAACTTGGATTTTTGACCCCATCCAACGGCGCCTGATCCGATGAGTTATACCCTTTTCAATTTGAGGTATCCGAATATCACAATTTGAGATGACAGCATCAATTTAAGATCTGATAGCATCAATTAAAGGTATCCCAGTATCAGTTTAAGATGTCTTGTTACTGTGTGGACAGTACGATAGCGCGATTGCACCATCGTTTCCCATTGTTTTGTAGTTTTGTGATGTTCTTGTTGTTACGTCCAGTCCATCCGTGATGACACGCCTTCCGTACAGTCGAAGTTTACTGGGCCTGTCTAAGACTCAGGGCCGTAAACAAGGTGTGTTTTCTCGCTCGGGTTAGCTGTGCAAACACCACGCCCCTTGTTGCGGCTGTACTATTCAACCGATCGATAAATGAACCCGATCGATGGTGTAATTTTCGGGCCGGTATAGGAGGCGAATAAGTTCTGAATCCGGTGCTGCTTAAGTGTTGATAGGGGATCACCACAGGAAAATCAGTTCTGGAACGATGCTCCAAGCGGGAAATTTGGAATGTAAAAAGTTCAAACGACGATGAAACTGGGCCAACGTTTGATATTCGAAGTGGGTTCAGTAAACGAATAACCATGATAAAACTTTGAATTTGTGTTAGGTACAGACTACAATATCCACTAATATAGGCTCACTCAAAACGTTTATTGGTATGTTCCCAGCTGCCATTTTTCGCGTTAAACGATCTTGCTGACTATGCCGGAAACATAATTCCGTAGGGGAGAAACACTTTATGGAAAATGCATATTTATTTTATAAAAGTTGTTCAATATATTTTCCATCTTACTACTTGCATAGCAAAATACGACGAAATTTTTCTTCCACCTTAAGAATAGTAACAGTTGGAGGACGTTAGCACTGCTCGACGATACTCTGCTTTAGCTCCTCCATCGTTCGACTTTAAGTATGACGGTATGACGTGAGTAATGCGAGAAACCTTGTCTCTGCCTACCCTTTTTCTCAGAAGAAGTCTTATTTAGGGTTACTATGAAGTTCGATGTGGCGCAATAAAATTCAGGGTTTGGTGTTCATCGATCAAGGAGGTGTAACTCCGTACTCATCGTTTAACTGTCAGTCTATTGGGTTAGTTTCCAGCGACAGCTGACCATTCTAATTGAAAAATGACGTTACTAATTTCAAATTTTTCTACGATCCTTATTCTTTTATGTGTCTTACAGGCTATGTATGAAATATCAAAAACGTCGGCAAACTTTTTGCAACTAAGCGAGATCTCGTTACTCATGACAGGAGCGTGACTGATACAGGTTGTAACAATTGGATTATGTCACGATTACAGGTGAGTATAATCAGAGACCAGATTTTGTTTGAAGTGATTTGAAAATTCGGGAAAACTAAACAAGCGGTCAAAAGGTATTGAATTCTAAAAACAACTTGAAATGATAATCAGGTCCACGGGATCAATCAACGTTAGTGTCACGTTCAATGAGGTTTGTTCATAAAAAAACCTGGCTCTTATTGGTTTCACGTTTAGCTTGCCCATGAACACAAAAAATACGGTGGCCGTTTGGTCGACCGGTTAAGCGGAAATTAAACCCAACTGAGTAGTCATGAGAACGTAAGTTAGCAAACAAGCTCGCTTTAGGTGTTAAATACAGCACCGTTTACGGTAGATTAAACAGGTTGGTAAAAGGAGATACATCTGCGAAGGAAACTAGAGTTTAAAAAAGATGATAGAATTTTAGTTACCTACGTTCGTCTACCTCTCCATCCCATTCCGGGGGGGGGGNNNCCCCGAACTGTATCCGCGTCCAAACCTGTTCTCTTTATATAGACTACAGACAGATTACTCCCTGATTTGACCTCACTTTGAGTTTATCAGTCCACATGCTTCTACGGAACAAGTATCGTGGGTCGAATTATGAGTGGTCTATCGGATCACATTACGGAGCATCACCCCAGTTGGTTGAATCAAGAATTGACAAGGACTGGAATGACGGCAATTGAAAACCGCTTGACTGAATCTATACCTTTTAAATTTTGAAGTGAATCCAACCAATCGCAGTCCATTGAGAACCCCAGAAGATTATTGGCGTTTCGGTCGTCAAACATCCCGTTCCACCCGGGATACAATGTTTGTGATCGTTGATTGAGTGTGCGTCATAGACGCGAAGGAACGAACCCGGAGGTAATTGACCTCTTTCGCTCGTGTAAGGAAGCGAATCACGTCAAGATGGATCGATTAATCGACCACCATGCCCAGACGTGAAAGTTGGGATGAATTATTGCATTCGTGAAGTCAGTCTAACCCTTAAATGATCAAATGAATAAATTCCTTTGATGCCGATTTTCTCTCGACTAAAACCGATTCCTTTGATCAAATTGTTGTTTGGCAGATTTGAAGTTTGTATGTCGATATTGTGAAAAGTTCAGTAGCCTCGGTGGGATTCGAACCCACGCATGGACGGAGCCTACGCTCTGTATGTGCATGCTTTACCAGCTGAGCTACGAGACCACACCGATAGCACTGATCTTTTCACATTCGAACTTACATGCTAAATATTGGGTGCCACATGCCTCTGTACGTTGGATGGGTAAATTTGAATGTGAAAAGATCAGTGCTATCAGTGTGGTCTCGTAGCTCAGCTGGTAGAGTACGCACGTACAAAGTGTGGGCGGTGTCCATGCGTGGGTTCGAATCCCACCGAGACCACTGAACTTTTCACAATATTGACTTACGATTTCTTTGAATCAAATGTGATTGTTTACCTATTTCTGACATTGAAATGCACACTTGACGAGATACATAGCATGCATAAGATGATGGATGTGACTAATTCAGTTAGTTTCTCCCTTCGAATCACTCACCAATCGGATCGAAGATGACTCCTTTGTCCGAAATGAAAATAAATCCAACTGTTGGTGTTTATTTCGAATAAACTGGGATAAACCTCAGTTTTTACCATTTCTGCCGGACGACATGCAAAATGTTGACCTTCCGAACTAGTCGACTGGTTTTACATGATTATTTGGTTTTAACCATGCACGAACTGCATGCCTTGATTCGCCTTTAATCACCACTTGCCCTGGAAAACACTGCTTACCGAGGGCCTGCTTCTGCATGAAATTATTCACAACCGTAAAGTGGAAAACCAGCCTACTGTAATTGTAAATATGCTCAAAATTCTACCAAATTTCTCAAGTGCTCGGCATATTGTCTTCAAAAATGACAGACTTTCTGACTTATATCTCGAACTCACAAAACGTTCAGTGATTGAAAAAAGAACCGTCTATCGAATATATTAAAAATCGAGCATTTCTATAGCTGTCGGATAATGTATACGAACATGATTAGATGCATGCTGACGATGATTCTTCGTGAGTTGAGACTTGATACCACCAACAATACTTTCCAAACAAGCCGTTTTCACCGCCCATCATTGTGTCATGTTGATTTCGGAGTTGCGTTTTGATGTAACTTTTCGTAACGGTCCATATCATTTCAATGGGATTCAACGCTGATCAATGAGAGTCTGCAACCATTGCAGACACAATTAGGAGTTGTGGGATTCTCTTTTAGGAATATAGTTCTACAACCCATCTGCACCATAGCACCTTTGATGTACGGATTTCTTCCTTTTGAACTGGTATTCGACACCGTTGAGTTCTTGGTGAGCCCCCCAAATCTCTTGAACAATCTAGATTGAATTTGGTTTCATAAATCCCTATAATCTCATGTCTAAGAGTCTAGTACCATCGTCACTGCTGAGCATATCGAGGAAGAAATGACTCAAAAACACGTCGATATATTATCTTTTCCTCTTCTCTTCATTATACAATAAGTTCATCGTTGCTGGCATTTAATGAATCTTTTTGATTGCGATCAGATAGCACTGACCTAAATGAGCCTTCGACTAGGTTGATCGCGAAGCTCAGATGGGAATGTCCAGAAGCACGCTAACTTACAGAGGTCGCCATATTCACCTCAGGTCGAGTGAGAGACTACAACGAAGTGAGTAGGAGGTTCGTCACCAGCAGCGGCGTTCGTCAAAGGTACCCTAGTTTACGGTTCCTATTCAATTTTTTCGTAGACGTAATTCTAGAGAACTTACTAAGGGGTCTCCGATTCGACCATCGGTGTTTGCGTAGTTTAGCCCAAACGGGATAGAGCGAACGAGTAATCCGGAGTAGTCCGGAGGCAAGCCGTCATGCGCCTGGATGTTTAGCAGGGATAAACCTGCTGGCTCATCGAATTCAAAATAGTAGGCCTTGCTGGCTAGAATACGTATGGCGTACGCCCATCTGCCGTCTGCCATACCGCGCTTTATTCGCTTATGCTGGCAATGAATAAATGTGAGCCAACTGCTCGCGTCTATGACGCACACTCGATCAACGATCACAAACATAGCATCCCGGGTGGAACGGGAGAGGGAGCGGGAACGGCCCACCTCACCCCACCGAAACTTTCAGCCTTATTTGGTAACTCACTCAAAAAGTGCTTATGTTTGTTTACGGAGAAGTTAGTTCATTCCCACTGGACGGGATTTAGACACCTCCGGTCCAATCGGTGTTGATGTTCTCAGTGGAATGTGATTGGTTGGATTCACTTGAAGTTGAAAAGGTATAGTCAAAAAGTTCAGTGGCTGAGGCTTTCCATCCTCTCTATACAGTCAAGGGTCCAAAGAGGTCAAGTTCCGAATTTTGTCAACAGCCGAGGCAATTACTACCCATCTCTACCCCATTGGTCTTACCATAGCTATCCAATAAAAATCTGGTGACATAACCTCCGTTCATGAACTCTCACTCACTTACATACTCTCCCATTCAAAACCACCCTATCTTCCACTTTCCACGCATACACACAGACATTGATAAACATCAATTATCGCAGTTCCATCATCTCTTTTAAAACTATGATTTCCCCCACAGATGTGTCCTCTCTCACCGCCTGTTTGACCTATTATAAATCAGCCAGTTTATGTAGCACCAAAAACGAGCTTGATTGCTAACTTGTGTTCGTATGCTAAAACTGTGAAGAATTTAATCAATGAAAATCTTTCCAATCAACACTGGTTTTTGAGAACTGAAGCAACTGTCAATACAGCTATATGCAAAATTCGAAACCTTGACAACTACATTATTATAAGCCTAAGACCACTGAAGTTGTGCTGGTCCTGTTTTGAGCGTGGGTTTATTTCCTTGGCAGTTTGTGCTGTTAATTTATATTCGTTTTAACTATGTTTGTGACGGCCGATAGACAGTATTGACGAACTATTTCTTCTTTTTGGGTTTGCTAGCAATCAGTATTCATCCAAACATCAATTACCGATCTCCCAATGAGTGAAACCCACACCCAAGACTATCAAGAGTGCCTGGTGCCTCTGAACAATCCAGTGGGCTACTCCAAGCTGGATAATCTAAAATTGATTTGGTCATTCGCACAAGGTGATGACCGTCAACCGTGTTAAGGGTTTGAAGTGCCGACCCGAATGTTAGCGGTTCGAGTCTTGACAGGGACACAAAATGTGCGTAAAGGACGAAACAGCTGTCCAGTGCTCTTCATCGGTTATCACGAATATTTCCATCGCATTTGAATGAATTGATACTTTCTCAAGGAAAAGCTGTCTTAGTTGACCATGTACCTCAGTGTTTGATGGTTTAGCCACATCTTTAGGAATCGTGGTTCGAGTCCCAGGACGGACACTAAATGTGCGCGGGTAAAATCGTTGATACTAGGTGATTTCATCCTCATCGCATTGAACTTCAGAGACGTTGATCCGGAACGGTCGTAGGAAATACAACATCCGCGCGGTGAGTAAGCAGAACAAGCGAGCGTGAGAGGGTTCATGGTAGTCAATAGTAATCAGTTAAACCGATTTATATACTGCATTTTTTGGCCTCACTTCTCCAAAACTGTTTTATTGGCTGTAACTTGCCTTCTCACACTTGCATGCTCTACGTGCTCACCTATCTGGGCGCTACCAATCGAGCCGTAGTAGATTAGCCAGATATTCGTACCATCATCGTCTTATTTTGGTGCCTATTCGAACCCACATGTGTTTCACAGGGACTCGTTCCTTCAGTACCGATTAGACCTGTAATATATCGAAGCGAAATAATGAAAATCCAAAGTCAGTATTATTCTTGAATAAAATACATTCTTAGTTCCGTTTTACTTCCACCATATCATACTTTCTGCATTCTTTGCACAAAATCCAGTGTGTATGGTCACAAAATACGCTTTCTCTTGCCACCGGAACAGTGAACTAAAGGGTTCAATACATTGTTATTAAGAGAATTCATCTATTTGCCACAATTAACTATTTTACGGATTGGATCTCACTACGAGGGGTACTTAAATCCTACAGATCATAACTTGCTTGCAATCTACGACCTGAACAACCAATGCAACATGAAACCGATTTGTTTAAGATTGCATGAAGATCGAAGGAACACAAACGTCGTGAGGTGTTAGCAGTTCTTTCCATTAGACCACCAACGCACATTTTGAATAGAATGGAATGTCCCTCCAATAAGAACTGAACTTCATAGGCGGTTTTACGCTCAAGCTGTGTTGGTTCATCACGTCTGTTTTCTTTTTTCTTAAATAATTTCTCCGGTTGCTTCGGGGATGAATTTTCCGCTAGTCTATTTTGTACAGATTTCTGGAGCTTTGTTATCGTACATAATCTTTTCTTTTGAAATTGATCTCGGGAAAGGCTTGCTTCAATATAGGTAGTGTTTACCGTCTCCGGTGTGGTGTTTAGTCCGGATTTACCGAAGATTGGGAGGGGCGGGTGAAAATGGGGTGGGCAGANGACACAAGGGTGGACTGTGAATGCGAATTTCCACGGCTTCCGCTGTGGCCAGGTTGCGATTTTTAATCCGCTTAGATTGTTATTCACAAACTTGATATAGGCAACGAAGCACTCTGGTCAAGTTAACTAAATGGCCTGACTTGACGAGATGTGGACAGATTGCGCTCGCGTAATTGACTTTGTCGCCCCAGTGTGCAACCGAACTCTCTGAGTAAAGTGTCTGCTCGTGCGACAGCTATAAGTTGTTCCACAGGAACAGGTTCAGGGGTAAACACAGAACAAGATATGAGAAACAGGCACTTTATCTTTGAGCTGCAGCTTCAGGGCCGGCCTGGATGCTAATGTGTCACGCAATTTCGCTGCATAGAAAGTTTGTCTTGGTTGCTGCATTGTATTCTATTTAAAAAAGTGAACAGTTTCTTTGATCTTCTCCATCGTTAGCGTTAAACGAATAGGGACGCCCGAAAGTTCATTTGCGGTGGAGATGACCTTTCGTCACTTTTGTGTAGAAGTTCATTGAGCAGGATTCACAACTCAATGCCTATTTTTTCAATATCAGTGATTGAAGAGATTGAACGAAATGCTAACAGCTCGCCACATCTTTATTCTTTCGATTTACATGCCATGCATCAACAGGATCTAGTGCTTTGTATTTCATCCCAATTGTCAAAACATTTCACTTGCTACTAGATACCAGACAGGTCGCGTAATGTTGATCATATTGCTCTGGGTTGAGATGTTTTTTCACAACATGGGATTGACACTTGGAGCGGTGTTAAATTTCCAATCTGTCTTTTTTAATCTAGTCGATTTCTTAGCATGTCAGAAACGCCTAATGGAATTTGTTTCTCAAATCATTGGATTCTACTTGTCTTATTCTGTTTTTTTGGATCAATAGCTAACCAAGTGTTAAGAAAACGTGAGTTAGTGAGAATGAGCCACATGGTTGAGCTTGTTGTAAACCGCTGACAGATTCCACTGTTCCCTAGAGTTCAGAAGTCGTTTTCACTAGTTTAATTGACAGATGAGTTTGATACACAATCAAGTGAACTTTTAAGATGCTTGAGATATAGGATAAAATAAAAGGTTCGTTGTCACATTCTTTTTAAATTCACAACATTTGATAACAATGGTTACCCGTTTTAAGAATACTGAGACATTTTCTGGAGGGAATTTCAAATGAACGCCGAAATGTGACAGTTCATCAGATGTTTTACCCTTTCTGTTCTATCTCGGGGCATGTTCGCCCACACAAATGTGCTTAATAAAAAGATACAGTGTATCGTGAAATTGGGAGTTGTGGAAATCCTACAGCTAGTTCCTTATCCGCGAAGATTTGTTACCATGACATCATTGCGAAATACTTTGGTATGAGCTGTCCGCGATGCCTACCAGTCCTGCGTACGGAACACACAGAGGACTGAATCTATTTGTCCATATGAGGAGACAGAACGCTATGCTGGTTACAAGATCAGCTGATATATTGCTGAAGATTTTTCGGGTCGAAAGTAGCAATCCCATGGAGGATGAACAGTTCCGAATCAGTCTTTCGCTATCTGGATTCAAAAGCTTGTTTCCATCGTGCCTGATATATGTATCGTTTTCTTCCGGGAATAAAAAGTAGACGGATGGATTAGAGAAGTCGACGAATGTCAAATGGGTTCTACGATGAACCCAATTTGGGTGCATCCCGCTGAAAAATGTTCAAAACGCTGTTCCGACAGCAGCCAGGTATTATAGGTCAATGCCAATGGTATAAATCAATGTCTTTAGCGCTTAGGCAAATTGAATAACCGCAACCGTTTACATTGTTTTGTGCTCGAGAGGAAACATTCCCGACGTGACTCACAGATAAGACGAGACCATTTCGAGATCTGTCTATCGATAAGATGCATGTACGAGCCAATATACGCACTTCGAAAATTCCAAGTCATTACTCGAAGACATTCGTATAGGAATCTTTAGGTTAGAAAAATAATTTCCTGTACAAAACTTAGATTTTGAGCATCACCCAATAGTTCTTCTACAAAAACAATCCCAAATTTGAATCTTATGATGTGAAAATGAAAATCACAGTTCGAGTTTGGATGCTATTTTCTTCAAGATCCCACGGAAAGAATTTGGGCACGGGGCGGAATCGATTGTAAGTTGATAAACCGAACAGGAAGTTCTATTTGAAGGCCTTTTCTGATGAAAATAACAAACCGAAATAATGGGTTGTTTTCATCAGTTTTATTCGGAAGGTTACGGAGCTTGCGACAGTCGGAGGGGGAGGAGGAGTTTGAATGAAGAAGCTTGCTCACACAATTGCCAATGCAAACAAATTGTGCAGTAACTACGTTCTCCACAAATTGGTGGTTTGTGTGCCGTGATGAGTAATATCTAGTAGAAATGTATCTGGGGTCTTGCTTACGTAAACACATTTCGAACAATTGAGTCAGTTCAATTTTGTGATTGATCGCCATCTGGATTTTACATTTGATGAAGCTGTTTCGTTC